TTAGCGAAAACCATGAGGGTTATCGAGTCTTATCAAGAGTACCTTTTTTATAGTAAATGAGTTGCGCAATACTCAAACTCCTTTTCTTCCATTGGCGTAGAACTTTTAAAGGTGCAATTATTTAAAAAATCAAGTTCTACGCCTATGTATTATTATCGGACAAAATTTTAATACCATTTTTTTGCCACATAAAACTCTACCAATATACCAAATTTCAGCAAAATCGCATATGCCGTTTTAAATTTATATGGGAAAAACGATTTAAAAATTGTAACTTCAAGGCCCTCTGGAGCCCAAACGAAGCAACTTTGTACTAAGGTAATTTTACTTAAATCGACTTTTGTAAAGACCTTTTACAGACACCCTACCCTGTATAAACAACTTCTCAAACCAATTTGGACCTATGGCATTCAGCTTTGTGGTTGTACCAGCTACAGTAACATTCTATTAATCCAGATTTTCTAGAACAAAGTGTTGAGGAACGCTGTCGATGCTCCTTGGTACATTAGAAGCAGCTTTCTTTATCGAAACCGATCACGTAATTTTTAATCACCTGTCCTTTGTCGGGTAGGGGAGAAGGGGGACATTGGGACACAAGGCACTTCAACTTTTAGCGTCACTAAGTGTAAAGTTTAATTGTACTACTTGACCGTTAGTGGCAGCACGTATACCCATGTTATTGTAGAAAAGTTTTGTCCGGTGTTGTAAATAAATCGAAAATCGTTTGAGATCAAATATTTTCCAAGTAGCTAGAATTAACTTAGTTAAAATTCTACAGGTAAGTGGACTTGTTTATTCTTACTAAGTCGGTATATGCTGATGTAATTGTTTATTTTAGTTATTTACTTAACCTTATTTTGTTCATTAGCATGATTGGGGTAGATAAGGACATGTAGTCGGAGGCACATATGGACACTGTCTTAATCTGCCCCAGAGAAAACCAAAACTGCAAAATTAATTATAATTCATGTGTACCTTTCCTAGTCCTCTTTTTGATATCAATAAACGCCTGAAACACCTTTAAAAAATAAATAACTTGGGGTAAATCGCATTTTAATTTCATTTCCGTGTTATAACCTCTTATGTACTGCTGTCCCAATCTGCCCCAGAGAAAATGTGAGAATTGACTGAACATAAATTTCAGGTTTTAAAATGGTAAGGACTTACAAGAGGAAGATCAATCGTTCTGCTATATCGGAGGAGAATATAATTGCCGCTGTTCAAGATGTTTTGCAAGGAAGACTTTCAATAAGAACTGCAGCCATAACCTACAATTTGAAAAAGTGGACTGTGGGTAACAGAGTGAAGAAAATAAAAAGACAACGTCTAGAAGACCCTAATCGAGACCCTGACGCTTCTGACAGACAAGATACAGATGTTGACATATCATTTTCATCACCAATCCGGTCAAAGTATTCGTTTCAACAAGTTTTCACATCTGCCCAAGAAGAACAAGTACCAAATATTTTATCCAAAGTTCGAAAATGAATTATGGTCTCACATATACACAAGCTCAAAAACTGACATTCGATTATTAATATTTAATTGTAAAGTATCCGCCGAGCTCTGGAATAACTCGTTATCCTCTGGAAAGGATTTGAGGTATCAAATTTTATCATTAAGGAAGCTGGAAAATACTAGTATAGCAAGAGTCTTCAGATTTAATGAAAAAAATGTGAAAGAGTTTTATAATAATTTACAAAAAGTTTTAGAAAAGTATAAGATACCTCCAGAATGAACCTACAATTTGGCGTTGCCACTGTTTTAGACGCACTGAAAGTTATTGCCAAAACTGTTACAAAACAAGTGGGTCAAGCAGTATCCGCAGAACGAGAAGAGCTGGTTAGATTTTGCGCTATAATAAGTGGAGTCGGAAATACAATTCCCAAGAGCAAAATTTAAGGATGTTTTTATGAAAGGTGCGCCAACATGAAGTCTTGGATTAGCCAACAAGTCAGGGTTTGTAATTGTAATTGTAATTTAACACATACGGAAACATACAAAATGTACGAAACATGAACCATACTGATTGTATTGGACAACCATGAGTCCCACACCAGCCTCAAAACAATTTTATTTTGTAGAAAGAATGAAATTATTTTCGTCACCTTCCCCCCCCCCCCCCCCCCCCCCCCATTGCACACACCACCTCCAGCCTCTTAAAGCTACACTATATAGCTACACTATATGGCCCATTTAAAACCTATTTGAAGTTTTTAATGATTGGTTAATAAATCATCCTGGAAAAAGTGTATTTATCTATAAAATTGCCTAGCTGACAGAAAAAGCATATTAGAAAGCTTTTACACTGTCCAATATATGTTCTGGGTTTAGAAAAAGTGGTAATTTTAAGGAAAATTACTTTGCTGCTGCATCTGTAACATATTCCAGGGCTCCAGAAGAAACAGATGAACCATCAACATCTTCTCTGGTCACTAGCACTTCATCAAATGCACCATCAACATCTGCGCTGGTCATTAGCACTCCATCAACTTCATTACAGCCTGTAAGTAATTTCGCCAGACATAATACGACCCTACCCCAAAGAAGAGAAAAAGAAATTAAAGTTAAAAGGAGGACGGGGCAAATCACGAATTTTAACAGACGCCAGAAAAAGATAGACTAGAAGAAGAAGGCAAAAGAAGAAGCAGGTGAAACAGAATCTGTTTGATAATGATAAGCAACAAGCAAATGATTCAGATGATTCCGGAGATAAAGTAATCTACGCTGATGATGAATCTGACTGTTTCAGTGAAATGGACCGTGAAAATTCCGACCAAGAATTCATGCAAGACGTTGAACCTATCACAGATCCTGAATCTGGGACGCCAAATATTGAAATCGGTGACTTTTTGCTGGTAAAGTATTGCATGAAGAAGACCCAAAAGTATTATGTTGGAGAAGTGGAAGAAATAGTCGACGGAAAATATTCAACAAATTTTCTAAGAAAAAAAAATGGATTTACCTTTCGCCAAGTCACTGATAAGGACCTAATAGAATTGGAACAAGTGGAACTAAAACTACCTAAGCTAAGAACGTCTGAAACAACTGCAAGGTCAAGTTCAATAAAGCGGTTTTAAGTAGACTTCGGTGCCTATAACGTCAAATAAACTAAATAAAAATTTTGTGTTTAACTATGCCTTTTTTACATTTTTTTTACTGTTTATGTGACTTGTGTTAGATTGTTCCAGCTTTATTCACCAAATAAATATGTATAAAACTTTTAGAACATAAGAAATTGTTTTTGTCCACATCTGCTCTTACACTGTCCAAATCTACCCCAGCCAAGGAGTATATTTGGACAATTTGGATACTTTGGAAAATTGCAAAATTATAATTCATCCATCAGAGAATAATCGCTAAACCTATGGTGATAGATAGTATATTTATTAGTGGCAACAACATAACATTATATGATCAATATATTGAAAGCCAAGCTATACACAGCTCATTATATTTGTAGTGTCTCAATGTACTCCCCTCTCCCCTACCTACTTTATTCTTAACTTTAATAATTATTTTTTATACTTTCTATATAGTCTAATCTATCACAAATTTGATGCTTAATTATGAATATTTTTTTGTAAGATGTAAACAAACTTTTTTCTACTTCTATTAAACTTTTTGGGATTTTCAATTCCTGAATATTTCTGTTGAGTCCAGGATCCGTAAGCAGGGTCGACCTTCACTCATCTGTTTAATGGATAAAAGTTTTTATTAATAAGTAACATATGTTTTTAAATATACCGTAAATGAGTGTCTACGCAAATATGGTCACGGCCATTTTTTACTTTCCTTTCTGTGTACAGATAGGAAAATATAAGAATCATAAAAAAAGTTGCTTATTATGTTATTATTTATTTTGTCCTCATACATGATTTCCCTAAAATGGACCTAATTTGAGATATTTTAGGAAAAGTGCAAATTTCGAATTTTGAAGACAACTCTAAAACGGATGAGGAGAAACACACCAAATTTTAAACTTGAGGTTTAATTTATCCTGTGATGAGCTAATTAAAGTTTAAACATAGTCAAAGCATCTGTGGAATACTTTACAAGCTGTCGTTTTTTATTTTAAGAAAATAAATAGTCTGTACCGTATTTTCTTAGGCAACCCATTTGCGGTATATTTTTAAACATATTTTATTTAAAAAATAATAAACTTTCATCCATTAAACATTAAATATATGTTGTTTGAATTACTAAAAAGAAACCGTTGAAATGAATTTTCACTTTTATTGAAAAAGGCCAATATAAATTAACGCACTTTTCTGACCCACAGAGACTCCGACATTTCATTGAAATATGATATTTAATTTTTAGAATTTTCAGAGCATCAAATAATGTACACTTGAATTAACTAAAAAAGCCAATTGGAAAAAGAATTGCATTAAAAATTGCTGAACATATTCGAAAATATTTGCTGAACATGAAACATGAAACGCAAACGAAAATTTGTTTCTGTAACAACCTAAAAAGCTACCTCGTTTTAGTTTTTACCGTGGCAACATTGCCGGCAGCTGCTGCATTTTTCTGTGCTATGTGCGTCTGATAATGTTTGGCTAAATGAGCTTTTTGTCTAAAACTCTTCCCACATAAACTACATGCGAACGGTTTTTCCCCGGTGTGGGTTCTGATATGAACGTTTACCGAATACTTATCCTTAAAACCCTTGGAGCAAATATTACAATAGTGCAAGGACCTCTCTTTTCTGACTATACTCGTCGATGTAGCATTCTGGACGGTGGTTTGCGATTTGGATCCGCTGTTCTGCCTCTTGTATTTCTTGGACGGTTTTGTACTAGTTACTGTAGCAGCCGGCGTGATTTGTACGGGGGAATTTAAGGTATATAGTAACCCAATTTGTTCCGTACTAATCGAATTAATACTGGTTTCACTAGAATTATCTATCTGGCAGTACTGGTGTACAGATTCGGCCACTTCGTTGGCGATGCTCTTCAACTTTTCGAAATCTTCAGGATATGGCTGGTCTAACTGACTCAAAAGAAGATCGTCAACGCTTGATGTGTTATCCGATTCTTGAATTGTCTTGCAGGGTATGTGTTCTTCGAAAATGATTTTACCGTTGGCGTCGATACCTGCTACTATGGTGGGTATCTTCGTTTGTTGTTCTTCTTTTATGAAAGCTTTTTCGGGTTTGTTTAGAGGCGTTGATAATACTTTTCTAAGTTCTACGTTGGTATGTACCGGAGATTTTTGAACAGACTTGAAGCTGCCGTTATAGCGGATACCGGCTTTCCCTTGTAAAGCGCTCCTTAGTAGAGAATCCGGTGAATCTCTATTGCTGCTGCTGTTGTTGTTATTTACTTCCCATTCGTTGTTGTTGTTGTTGTTTTCGAAACTTTCTTGCGCTTCTAACATGGGGCTTTCCGCTATGAAAGCATTTGTTATTTCGTCCTTGTTTTCATCGTAGGTATAAGTTTCGGATTTTATTAATCCATCTGTGTTAGTAGTTATGTTATTTTCGTTAAAGGAATAGGTACTAATTTGACTACCGGGTATAACGTTTAATATTGAATCGATATCTAGTCCCACTTGTAGCTGCTCCATTGAATTAGGACTTGATATTGTTTCATCGGCTTTGGGTAATCGATACCAAGTAGCACTTTGGTCGACTCCATTTAATACTGTTAAGGTGTATATTTGTTCGTCTGTGTTTTGTTTTTCGGTGCTGAGCTCCTCTGCCTCGTTGCCCGTCGACATCCAACAATATTTATTTAAATCTTCTAAGAGAGCGGTTTCTATTTTTACGGTATCTTTTGCGTTCCATAATGTTGTTTCGAAATTTTCGTTGAGATTTTCCGGCAGTTCGGCTATCAACATCGTGTTGTTGTTGGTTTCTTTCGAATCGTCTGCGCTCTCTAAAAAAGCGTTGACTGTTCGGATTTGTTTGGTGAATTGATGAAGACATTCGTTGTCGTTGGAGTCTGACGGTACGACGAAATCGAAAAAGTCTGCTTTGGATAGGTCTTCATTTCGGAAAGTTCCTGTTAAGTCCATTATCACAGTTTCTTTCAGTTCCATGAATAATCGTAGTTTAGTAGTTGATTCTTCTCAATATTTCCATATTTACTAGGCTGCAACAAAAACGTTCAAATATTAATTTGATTGAATAAATTATTAGTATAATTAAATAAACTATACTACTTGTTGTATCCTAATCATTTTAAATATTTATTTTGTCATTTCGATAGGTAATTTGTAATTTGTTAAAGAACTTAGACTTAGAGACCAAAGAACGGTTTGAATTTAAGTACGGATCCCCTAATATTCCTAACTTTAAAGTACTTTTTGGTTTTTAAGAAGAACAAAGTTTAGCTTTTGATCAAGTATCTTTTTCTAGTTTGTCAAATTCGAACTCTCCTCTAAAAGAAAAGTAATTTCAAAACCTTATAAAAATAAAAGTTTGAATAAAAACATATCATACTTCAAACCTTCCAACAATTTAAACCTGTTTGTAAATTCATGTAAATTATGTAAAGAAAATCATGACTTGTTTTCGTTTTACATTTTAAACGACAACAGCTGAAAACATTGCTGATAGCTTGTCCCCTATAACTTCCCATGATGTAGCTTCAAAATCCATTAATATTGCTGGGTTTGTTTATAAGCATTCTACCGTTTTATTATCAACTTTGGTGGTGGACGTACTTGATGCTTCAGGCTGCTATCAACCAGTTCGAGCCTTATTAGATGGCGGGAGTATGTTATGTTTTATTTCTCAAAAATATGGTCATTCGATGAATATTAAGGGCATTGGTTCGCTTGAAAAAACTGTAAGTTATGGCCGTACTTCAGTTTCTATAAAACCTATTGGTCAGTCCTTACCTGTGTTAAATTTTGAAACTTTAATTTTACCTAAAATTTGTGATAATCTGCCTACTTCCGAAATTTCTGTGCATTCTTGGGACTACCTTGCAAATTTAAAATTAAAATATTAGGAGCGGATATATTAGCTTAAAGTTTATTAGATGGTAAAATTGTTGGTCATCCTGGTACTCCAGTTGCTTTGAATACTGCCTTTGGCTACGTATTTACTGGAAAGATTGATCATCCTACTACAACATTTTCGGCTTTGTTGTGTAATACTTATGAAATATCAGATTCTCTTAAAGAATCTATGAAGAAATTTTGAGAAGTTGAGGCTGTGCCTCAAGTTAAATGTCTTTCTCCTGAGGATGAGCTGTGTGAAGATCATTTTAAGAAGATTGTTCGTAGAAATTCAACGGGACGTTATATTGTTTCTTTGCCATTTAGGGAAACTTCACCTACCTTTTTCGGTATTCGAAATTTGGCTATTAATATTTTTTTGGCTTTAGAACGTCGTTTACTTCGCCAACCCCAAATATATTTAGAGTATTCTGCTTTTATGAAGGAATATTTGGAACTTAATCATATGGAGAAGATTACGACTGGAGATTTATCTGATCAACAGTATTATATTCCTCATCATGCGGTAATACGTCCTAGTAGTATGTAGACGAGTGGTAGATGAGTGGTACTTAACGCTTCCGCCAGAGTTTCAGATCAAAAAAGTCTCAATGATTTTTTGTTTGTAGGTAGAAAATTGCAGCAAGATATATTAGCTATCTTACTAAACTTTCGACTTCATATGTTTGTGTTTACAGCAGATATACAAAAAATGTATAGACAAATTTTAGTTGAGTCAGCTGATTGCAACTACCAAAAAATTATTTGGGGATTTTCTCCTGACGAATCCTTGCAAGAGTACAGATTATTGACTGTAACGTATGGGATTACTTCTGCGCCTTATCTATCATTGCGAACGTTATTGAAACTCGCTGAAGATGAAGGTGACCAATATCCTTTAGCTGCTGATGTAATTCGCAATGCGAATTGGGTGACTTTTATTCAAAGTAAAATTTCCTCTGAATGTTGGCATGATGTTTTATCTGTCAACAACCCTGCTGATATGGCTTCTCGTACCTTATTCCCTGGTTTGAGAGTCCTATATTTCTTCGCGACAGAGATTTGTCAGAAAAATTAAATGTTAGAATTTCTGAGCATTTTGTTATACACGAAGAAAAAAAAGGTTGTACTGACCACCACCGTTCAAAACAATTCTTTCGAAAAATTATTAAATTATAATTCTTCATTTGTTTTTATAAGACGTGTTGTAGCTTATATTCTTAGACATATTTTTAACCTGAAAAACCCTCAATGTCGTAAACAAGGACTGCTATCTTCTCTTGAATTATATGAAGCATTGATGTGTCTTGTTAAATTTACTCAACATTTCTATTTTTCAGACGAATTTGAAAATAAACAGTTTTCTAAGCCTTTCCGAAAGCTAAGTGCTTTTATTGATAATAAAGGCATTATGAGAGTTGGAAGTCGTCTCTCTTATTTGAATTTATCCTATGATAAAAAATGTCCTGCTATTTTACCCCGTCAAAGTAGATTAACGTATTTGTTAATAGAATTCTATCATGAGAAATATTTTCATGCTGGATTGCGCACAGTTCATTATTTTTTAGCTCAACATTTCTGGATTTTGGCCCCTAAACGAACCATTCGTAGTGTTTTATCGAAATGCATTGGAATCAATCTCCAAAAAATTTCCAGCCGATAATGGGAAACTTACCAATTCCTAGGATTTCTCAGGTGAAACCTTTTTTGAATTCGGGAGTTGACTTTGGTGGCCCTTTTAATGTTACCATGAATAGATATCGTGGAGCTGTCTTGTAAAGTGTATTTATGTCTTTATATGTATGGCCACGAAAGCCTTACATTTGGAACTGGATTTGTCCACAAAAACATTTTTATAGTATTTTTAATATAAATCCCGATGCACGTCAGCAATGACGTCGGTCATTCGTCATAGTACTACCAACTAATTAAAATGTCCCTAACTAAGCTAATAACCCGAAAAAGTCACGTATAGTCACGAGCATTCATGAACGTAGTCATATTACTGAAAAGTCGAAAACTGTTATGGTGATTATTTTGATAATTTTAAGAATTATTTAAATTATTTAGTTTATACATGTCTAATTCTTGATAATATAAAATTTATAAAAACATTATTAAATGTTTAGTACTCAAAAAATAATACTTTACATTAAATAATTTTGACATTCTGTACGCCCATGAAGCTCGTATTTATAGAGAAGAAATGTCATTACAGCAATTGGTACACCTTGTTGCGGTGTTACAACCCCTTTTTAAAAAAGTTCACTGATTTAGTTAGGTTATGTTTATGTTGAGTTAATTATTGATTGTGCATTTTATTTTCTGTAATTTAAAATCCTTTTGCCTGTATTTTTAAGCTTTGCCAGTTATACTTATAAAAAACTGTTTTTCAAAACAACCATAGAGTGAATAAGCTAATTATTTATCGTTTAATTTTTATATACAAAATGCCTATGAAATTATTTTCTTATCTTTTTTAGTGTGTTGCAGCATATCTAAATAAAAATATTTCTACTGTCAGTAGTATTTGGCAAGCAGTCAATGAATGATTAAAATCGCTAATTAAAAAGCATTCATATAAACAAAGGATTACCTACTAATACAATAACACTGGATACAAGTGGAATCCGAAGTGGTATTTATAATATGTATGAAACAAGTAAGTATAAAGACAAATCTATTTATTCATTCATAATTTATTTATATTACCTATAAAAGTTTTAATTTGTATACAGTAATATAAATACATACTTATTTGCAGGTCAACATATAACTTTGGAACCTTTAAGAGAAAAGTTGATTGAGAGACAAATGTTTAATGGGTATATTGCATCATTGTCAACTGTATTAAAAGAATGAAGGAAAAAAGATAACCAAGACGTGAACTGTAAATAGGTCAGTTTTTAAGAAATTATAGAATTACAACAGAAGCAGTTCGTTGTCATTGATGAAACATGTATCGTTCAAAATGAAACATTAAACAGCTCCTGGGAAAATAATGACAAAGGGTGTTAGACCTACAAAAATCGATGGCAAGAAATAAAACCAAATTTGAAGTAAATTAAGGTATCAGTAATTGTGTAAATCAAGTAAAAAAAAATATTAATATTGAAATGACACATCATATTGAAGATTTAATGGTAGATACGCTATTCTAGCAATCATATGAAGACAATTTAATTGGAAAAATTTGATTACAGTGGTCAATAAACATCTACATGTTTTACACATTTTCAAGATGTACAGTGAAACCCAAAAATGCCTTTTTTTCAGAAATTAACTTTAAAACAATATCAAAAAATTAAAAATGAAGTTACAAGATTTGGTATAACGGTGTACCTAACATTAAATCATTGATATAATGTGTTGTTTCGATATTACAATTTAGAATATAGCGATATTGACACACGTTATACGAAATGGCAACTAAATAGAATTAAATAAAACATTCTTTTTTCAGGTGCAAACCGCCAAAGAAATATATGGTAGATAATTACCTAAGCAGAACAATATAGACAAAGTATTACGTAATCTTCCCTGCCATTGTATTTTTAACTCCATTGAACTTATTTGTGACCTTTCTAAGCAATATTATAATAAACATATTGGCGGAGAGGGAGTTTTTAATAGATTGGAAATTATTTTTATTATAATTAACCCTAATAGCGATATCGATGACTGCGATTCAAATACTTGCGATCTGGATTAGGAGAAATAAAAGAATTTTATAGGAATAATGAAGATTAGTAGATGAATAATTGTTTTTTTATGAGAAAATAGTGTAATTAAAAAAAAAACATTGTCTAATTTTTAAAACAATAAACAGTTTGATATATTTCTTATATATCTGTATTTTTATTTAATTTATTCCAAGATATAAAAAAAATATTTGACTGAGAATAACATTTTTCAAATGTCTTTTGAAGCTGATAGAATGGAGAATCTTGATGTTTGAGTGATGAATTTATTGTTCGTACATGTTTCGATAACTTTAGAGTTGAAAAGAAGTAGCGATATCTGTTTATTTTTGAAGCATTTCTGGCTATCTTGAATACTTGAGCTACAGAACCGTTACTGAAAGTGAGATTTAC